CGGTCGCACAACGGTAAAGAGGTCGACTCCGAACTTTGAAAGTACGGGGTTCGAGTCCTGAGAAAGGATAAAATTTCTCTAAACCACTAATTCCGTTGAGCATGGAGTTTATCCTGCGCTTTTTCTGTGCAGTCAACAAACCAACGGGTAGCCAGTCGTCGGCAGGCGAATAAAACGGTCAGAATCATACTCTGTCATGGTCATATCAGAATCGATGAGACGGGTGGCCAAGACGCCCTGTGCGAGCACCTTTTGTGGATGCACTTCACCTTGACCCACCTGATAGCTAATACCACCTGAAAATGGTACGTTGACATAAATTCACTTCTGAATCCTATTTGTTCCCTTAACTCTGCAGAGTCCAGTTTGCCTTTAAGTCTGCTCATCAGTACCTTCGTGAAGATCTAGTAGATGACGCAGCAAACTGATGAATTTATAATTCTTTAAATCCTCTTTGTCTCTTTTTGTAGAGTAGAATCACCGAAGAGGTAGCCTAATCGTCCCGAATTTTCAGTTCTCTCAAACATCGTGAAAACAAACGCACCTAACATGGTCATGCTTCCATTCCTGATTCCACCAACTCTACTGTAATGATGTCTTTGCCTGGAATTCTTCCTCGCATTATTTTATTGCATGTCCCACTTCTTTCAGCAAGTTATCTGGAGCTTCTTCAATCTCATTTGTTTATTTCATTTCCTTCAAGAGTGTTTACGTCTTCATCTTTGCACAGTAGTCTATAAAAATCTTCTACTCTCTTTAGAGCCTCTTGTCTATCGTTGATGACAGTCCCGTCCTCTTTTTTGAGAGCTAAAATTCTGTTTCCAAATCGTCATTCTTTGATTTAATTTCTCCATGTACCGGTTGTTTTAAATTTTAAACAATTTCCTTTTCCAACCACCTGCGGTTGAATGTTCACATGTCGTCTTTAATGATTTCCCTATCGTTTTTCAAAGATCTGCATATTCGCTCTTTGACTTCCGATCTGTTTCTGTTTTTATTTCTATTCGTTTCTTCAGCGGTTTTATTGTTTGCTTTGTGATTTTTCGGTTGGCAATTAAAACCACTTTTCCAGAGATGCTTTCCGCTGTTTCTATAACCGCCTTCTTCATATCCTGATAGGGTACTAGAATTTCCACTGCTTTTCCTATTTCTTCGTCTTGCATTCCGTGAAGAACGTCGAATCAGTTATTAAGCTTGAGTTGGGATAGCGGGAGGTTTCAAGCTTTTTTAAGTCGAGCATCTTGTATCTCGTCCTTAGAGTCTCTTGCAATTTTCTTCCTTCCAAAGCTGAGTTCAGATGCACTTTGCATCTGACCAGCCTGTAAGCGCTTCTTGCACTAAATCTGTTCAGCACCGCGACGTTCTGCGCTGTATCTTCATGCTACTGAGGAGGAACTCTATTTCATTTTTGAACTCACTTGGGCCTTTCCACCAATTAATTGCTTTTTCTGGAAAAAGGCATTCATAATAAAAGCACCTTCCGTTCAGCTAACTCCAGTAGTCGGTTATCTCTGTCGTTCCTTTCTCCCTAACCAAATCGGATCACGGGGCATTCGTTTCCTTGCTGCAATCTGATTTTTGCGCTGAAGTCACCAATGATGAACTTTTAATAGCTTTTTCCGTGTTCATGGAATTCGTCTATTTCCTCATAAAATTTTTTATTTTATCATTAGGATGGTTTGACGTCACCACATATACTAGGATCACCTGCAGTTCATTTTTTGGAAACTCCCAGAACCTGGCACACCTCCTCTCCGAAGATCGTTCCACTTGTACTACAATTTTCTTCATTCTTCTGTGGATGATTATCCATATTCCCCTGCTTTTCCATTAGCTGACCCAGGTAGTTCAAGAGATATCCACTGTATTGCTCTAACAGCTCTTCTTTTTGTCCAATTTTGCTCAGTCCGACAATATCTCACTTGGTTTCACAAGGTTCTTCTTCCAGCGCTTTAAGGCTTGCTTCGCCTAAAAGTGATCTGCAGTTGTTCGTTGTCAGCGTTAGTGAACCGAGCAGCTTCGGTTCGTAACCCAAATATTTTTATCACTTCACGCTTTCATTGCTGACCAGCTCCTGACTTCGCGACGGCAATCTCTCCCGTTGAACGAAGGTCGTGGTTTCAGCTGTGAAGTCATCTTGGAGAATTTGGTCATAATTCACCGCGACCAGGTGAGTTGCTGAACGTGGCCTCTTCCACTTGGCCAGGTATATTCGTCAAGCCTTTATAGCATGGTTTAAGGTATCAAAGCCTAAAGACTCAGCTGAACATGATCTTGAGAATTCGTTGTAATCCTCCTACTATCCAAAGTAGTGGAAGTAAACTTATAAGGGATATAGTTACGCGACACTAAAATGAAAAGTACACTGTACAGACTGAATGACGATTGATGATTAGGGAATGAAACTGTCGTTGACGAAAGCCTTTCAAGAAAAACAGAAGACGCTGTTTCACAAGCAACTAATTCTAGAGCCTCGTTGTTCGCAAGTCACAGTTCTAAGCTGCATACGAGATTCTGACCCGAACTATATTGAATTGCAGTACGTGAAAACTTGTCTCCTGTCACTAGAAACAATAATCAACAATCCACCATGATAACTGTTTCTCAATCGAAGACACATTGCGAAAACCGGAAATGGACAGCGTGGAAGTGGCTGACAAGAACTATTTCAGACTAACTGGAGGAAAAGAAACTTAGTCACAGGCCTCGTGGATGAA